GCGCGCAGGTCAGGGCGCCGTTCAACTGCTCCTGCTGGGCCGCGTCCAGCACCTGCCCAACGCGCGCACACGCTCGGTCGACGGCGAGACTCGGACTCGGACTCGGCGCGAAGGTGAGCCGTCGCCTTACCATGGCCATCTTCCCCGCCAGGAGCAGCTCCGTCTCGCTGAGCAACGCTTTCACGTCCTTCACCATGGCCACCACGGCGGCGCAGCTCGCCGCCTGAACGCAAAAAGGACGCCCGCCGCGCGGGGCTTTTACGCGCCATTCGGCCCGTTTCGACCGGCCGGCGATTGAAGTCGGAGGGCCGCGAGACTCGGGAAGCCGTTTGCCGAAACGAACGGGACCGGAGCTCGGATCGACGGGGGCCGCGTGTACCTTGGTGCCCTCGCCCGCCAGATTGCATCCGGTTGACTTCAAAGCGGCGGCGCATCAAATTTGGCGTGGTAAAAGACGACGTTTTCCCGATTGAAAAAAAATCCATAAAAAGACCTCAATTGAGCCGGTTAGTGAAAAAGGAAGCGGACCGCATGGACCTCATCTTCGCTCAAAACGGCGTTCCGACTCGATGAGACGACGACGGTCATTTTTTTCAATTTTTGGGCCGTCGTCGCGGCGAACCCGCCGTTGGCCAAGAAAAGTGAGACTGATTTTGAAGCCGTGCGTGGAACTTGCTTTCGTCAAAGACCTGCTTATCGTTTCGGAGGCCTTCACTTGGCAGAAAACTCACCACGGGTTTTGTTTTTTCCCCTCCCCCACAACATCTGCTTTGCGCGAGTTTGAGCGAGCGTTCTTTCGTACCCCGACGGCGCCGGACTGCGCGTAGACGCGCTCCATGGACTTGGAGCTGGCGTTGACGGCGTGAGCCAGTTCTTGTTCCAGACTGCGGTGACTCTGCGCCAGCTGACAGATGCTGACGCACAAAATTGAAAAAGAAGAACTTCAGTCAGCGCGACAGGCGAGGGACAAACGAGCACGTGCCGAAGGACAGCGGGCGGTCGCTCGCCTGCCGATGAGCATTCGGGCCGCCCGCGCCAAGTCCCGTACGAGCGCCGCCTCTTCCTCCGAGAGGACGTCGGGAGGGCTGCCGAGGGGGGCGGCCAGCGCCAGCGGACCGGCCGGGTCCCGGGGAAAGTCGCCGCACCTTTGTTTGTCCTCCCACGACTTGAGCGCGCTCTCGAACGCCTGCGGCACAGAAGGCTCATCCACCGCCGCGCGCGCCTACGAGCCGGCGACGCGACCGGGCGGGCGGCCACTCACGCGGTCCCTGGTCAGCGTCTGGCTGCGGTTCTTGTGGAGGATCTTGATGCAGCCCGGAGGCTGGATCCAGGCCTCGCCGTCCACCTGCACCGGGACGCCCTCGTCCCCCAGGATGGCGATCTTCACCGTGCGGCACTGACGCGACCCGAGCCGAGCCCAGAGAGAGAGACGGAGAGAGTTGAGCCCGCGGTTGGACTTCCTGAGTCTGTCAACGCGCGCTTCAAACTCGCCGGCACGCTTGAGACCGCGAGGGAAGCGGCAACGCTTTGTCGATTCATCTGGGGTGCCGACCGAGGAATGAGCGGGAATCTCGTGCGCCGAGAGAGAGAGACGAGCGCGCGACGGCTGACGTCCGCAGCTCGGACGGATGATCGCTCGCCAACGTAACGCGAGAAAACGGGCGCCTACCTGCGCGATGCGGTGGTGTTGCAGCTTGATGACCCTGGAGACGGCCATCTGCATGCTCCCGAACACGGCCACCACCTCCAGAATCTTGTCGTCGAACGACGGAGCGGCGAAGGTCTGGGAACACGCACGCGGAGGTGAGCGACCGACGGGCGGGAGGGAGGGGACGGACGGGTTCGCCGCCGCCTCACGTCGTCTTCTTTGGTTCCGCCCCAGAAGTTGGTCCCTCCGGCGTAACTGGGAATGTTCAACACGGCGATGCCCTGCAGGCTGGGGAGGGGGATGGCGCGCCCGTCGCACTGCGCACATGCGGAGAGGACGGCGGGAGGAACGGGGGCGTTGCGCGCGCGCGGGGAGCCCGCGGCCGCGCCGGTCGGCTCTCACCTCCAGCAGAACTCGCTGCTCCAGGTTCTTGTAGGTTCTGTGCAGCAGCTCTTTGGTTCCCAGAACGCCGTACCACATCATGTTCTTGGTGCGACTCCTGCGCGGGCGTGGCACGCGTCACACGCCGTCGCCGACCCGCCCGCCCGCCGTCGTTTCTCACCTGCACTTCTCGGGATGCTCGTCTCTCTTGTTGTTGAAGTCCAGAGAAATTTTGGCGTCCAGACCGATGCCGAAGTAATTGTTCATCACGCACTTCTCGGTGTAGCGCTCCCTGCACGCACGCAGAGAGAGCGAGAGAGAGCGCGGCGGCGCCGTGAGTTGCGAGCCCCGAACCCTTCCGTGACCTCGCTCCGAACTCGGATCGTCTTTGCCACGGAAACGAAGGGGGGTGCCCTTTTGTCCGTTCCAGCGGCCCCTCCAAAAGTGTTGTCCCGAAAAATAGGCCGCTGCGGGATTTGTTAACGTTCCGGAGGAGGCGACGTCCCCATCAAAGACGGCGGCTGTCGTGTTCGTGTGGCGGCCGGCCGCCGGGGGCAGCGCAAAAACGGCGACGGTGCCACTCGCGCTCGGTCACGCCCGGACCGAGCGGGCTCCCTCTAGCGGTGGCTCTCGCTGACGTTTTGTCTTTCGTCGCAAACAAGCCCCGACGGTCGTTCAACTCGATTGCCGTACGTTTGCGGTGCCGCTTTTGGCATCGCGACTCGACGCCATCTTTTGTCTCGCGGCGCGCCAACGCGAACGGCCGAGCCTTTGTGCGCTTTTGCCGGGCTCCCTCCCGTATTCAAAGCCGCCTCAAAACTCGCTTGTGTTCTTTGGCGTTTGACTCGGCATGACTCGGATTTGTTCTTGGTTTTGCTGTTGGCTGCTTTCTGCCGTCTTTGTTCCCCATTTGTTGCTTTGCTGTTGTCTCTGTTAGCTGCTCCGTGCCCAGCACTTTGTATGCGGCGGCGGCTGTTTGAAAGTGCTCGAGAAATACACTTGATTGATTGATTTTGGAGGCGCTTGGAGGGCCAGCCCTCTTTTTAATGAGGAGGGGGTCAAAAGTCGGACGGGCGGCGGCCGCCCGGGTTTGTCGCCCGTTGAGTTTTAGCGTCGACCTCCGCCGGCATCGTCCCGAAGCCGCCGGAGCCTTATGAGGGATCTGGAAAAATTGGGGCCGCTCGCACCCGGAACGGAGTTTTCTTTCCAACCCGTTTGCGCCCCGCCGTTGCGATTGCGGCGCACGCGAAGGCGTCTTACATGTTGTCGGGGTCGCACGACGTCAGCGACTCGGCGTTGAGCAGCAGCCGACCGATGATGGAACCGTGAGACAGGGACGACGACACGCTTGCCCGCAGACCTGCACGCGCACGGCGAAGAAATCAAGAGGGGGGGGGGCGGAGGGGGTAGAGCAGAGCATCCTACCAGGGTAAAGGATCTTGCTGTTGAGCGCGGGCACGCTGTCCCGACTCGCCGCGTGGCCCGGAAGCGATACGGAGCCGCCCGGCGACAGGCCGCCTTTACTCATCAGCCTCTCGCAGGGCGTCTTGCCGGCTGCGCACGCA